AAACCCGGGTGGTTTTGAGCAACGTTGTCTCGAACAGTGCCGGGGTGGGTGTGGGCGTCGCCGCGGTGGCGTGTGGCTTCCTGCTTTCGTTGTTCATCATGCAGTTGTGCCCGATGCTGTTTTTGAAGGACTTCGGCGATGTGCAGGGCCGGTCTCGCGACGCCGCGGAGGCCGCCGTTGCTCTGCGGCAGTAAGGGTGATGGGAGGGGTGCGCCGGGCCCAAAGTCAGCGACCCCCGCGTTGCCCAGCAGCGGCGTCGTAGTGCAGGAGAGCGGGCGACGCGGGTGAACGCGGGAGATGCGGCGCGGCGCCTCGCGCGTGGGGGACAGCAGGAGGGGTGGGGGGGAGAGGGACGCGGAAAGGCAGGGAACACGTAAATGAGCTCCCCCGCAGAGAGCGGAGCAGTGCGGTTGGGAGGAAGCGTAGGGAGGCAGGAGGAGGCCGCTGCGTGGAAGGGAATGCACGCAGGGCCCACCCGGCATTGGTGCGGGCATGTCGCCGCCATTTATGCGCACCAGCGAAGAAAGCAATGAAGCTTCGGCCGCACAGAATATACCTAAAATAAGAAGGAGCGGGAGAAGGAGAGAAAAGAACAACAAGAATAAAAACGAAACAAAAAGGAAGAATAAGAAGAAAGTGAAATTAAAAGAGGCGGCAAATGTGTGTCGGTGGGGAGCAGGCTGTGAGGGGCCCCAGGAGGAGAAAGGGGAGGGAAAAATAAGAGGGGAGGAGAGGAGAGGCGTGTGGGTGTGTGTGCACAGAAGGGGCGGACGAACTCCGACCATGTTTGTTTGTTTTTTGTTTGTTTTTTTGTTTGTGCTTTTTTTCTCCTCTGTGGGTGGTTCGCCCGACACCCCGGCGGGGTCTCCTCGCGCGCCACAGGCCAGAAAAGCGAAAGGGATCACGTCGGCGTGCGAGGAGGGGAATGACGAAAAAAAATTTTTGTAGCAAAGGGAAATATATCTGAAGGATGAGGAGAAACACACAGCCCTGCGTAATTTTCCATGAATTTGTTTGTTTAGAGGAGGGATGGCTGCTTTTTTTTCTTTTATGGTTTGATCACGACCCGTGCGCCCCGTCCCACACATGCGCTGGCAGCGGCTTGTGCGAGGTGCCTTTCCCCGTCGTTGCTGCGGCCGGAGCCCCACTTTGTCCCCGCTTTCTCTGTCTCTCTCTCTCTCGTTCCTTCTTTTTTGTTGTTGTGCCGCCTGCTCGTGCGCGGCAGGTTGAGGAGACCTTTTTTTTTTCAGTCTAACGCAGCGGGGTAGGAACAGCGATCGACCCTGCCGCCGCCAGCAATGAACTACCGACCACTGACAGTCGCATGGTGCCTTGCCATCCTGCTGCTTGCCGTCACGGGCGCAAATGGCCTGTACGTGCTGGAGCTGGTGCAAGTGCTCCACCGCCACGGTGTGCGCCCGCCCCCGGCGGAGACCCCCAACCGTGCGAAGATGTGCAGCCCCAACGGCTCAAGCAACTGCACCGCCATCGCAAATAGAGGCGTGGAGCAGATGACGGCCATGGGGGCCTATATTCAGCAGCTCTACAGCGGCGACGCAGCGACCTCTGGCAGCGCCACGTGGTTTCAGTCGCCGTACGATGTGTCTGCGGTATACACCCGCGCCCTCGCGGACCCCGCCACGGCCCAGGCGGCGGCGGCGCTGCTGCGGGGCGTTTACGCCAAGGACGGCGCCTCCGCCGTCCCGACGGTCATCTCGGCGCCGCCCGAGCAGGACACCCTGCTGAACGTGGAGGCGTTTCCGTCGCTCTCCGTCGCCAAGAGGGTCGACGCGGCTGCGCTCAACAGGTCACTGGCGTCCGTTGTCGACGAGACGTTCCCCGATGCCGGTGTTCTGGGCGCCATGGGCGCGGAGGTAGGCCTGGATGCTGTCTGCTCGGCGCCCGCCAACAGGGTGGCGTGCTGCCAGCATCTGCAGAAGCTGGCGACGATGTACGCGGCGGCGGGTGCCACCGACGGCGCCCCCACCGTGATGGCGAACAGGGCCAAGCTGGACGTCGTTGCCGCTGCGGAGTTCCGCGCGCTGCAGGGCTACAACGCCAGCTCGCCCCTGGATGCGGCGCGCGGCAGCCTTGGCCAGCCGCTTGCGCAGGAGCTGCTCCGCAACATGCGCCAGAAGATGCTCCCCGAGGGCGACGCCAACCGCAACACGAGGAAGCTGATGCAGTACGCCCACGAGGTTCCCGTCGGCACGGCGCTTGGGCACAATCCGAGCGGCGTGACGCCACTGGGCGAGACGTTTCTGGTGGACCTTCTGCGCGACGACGCGACGCAGGCGTTTTTCGTGCGGCTGCGGTACGCAGTGCCTGGGAATGGCGCCGCCGCTGCTGCTGCTGCTGCTGCTGCCTTCCCGTTCCGGTGCCTAAGCGCGGCCAAGGTGCCGACGTCCGCCACCACGGCGGACGGCATCGTTTGCCCCTTCGACGACTTTGCTCGCTTTGTTGAGTCCAGCAGGGGCACGAGCCCGGCCGGGGCGGTCTGCTACCTTGACGAGGGGGTGAGGAAGGAGTTCGCGTGCGAAGTGGAGGGCGCCGCCCCGTCGCAGGCGTGTGCCCGCTACCGCGCCCTTTGCCCGTCGCAGGCGTGCCCCGAGGGCCATGTCTACGACGCGGGCAGCGGGGCGTGCAAAACCCGGGTGGTTTTGAGCAACGTTGTCTCGAACAGTGCCGGGGTGGGTGTGGGCGTCGCCGCGGTGGCGTGTGGCTTCCTGCTTTCGTTGTTCATCATGCAGTTGTGCCCGATGCTGTTTTTGAAGGACTTCGGCGATGTGCAGGGCCGGTCTCGCGACGCCGCGGAGGCCGCCGTTGCTCTGCGGCAGTAAGGGTGATGGGAGGGGTGCGCCGGGCCCAAAGTCAGTGACCCCCGCGTTGCCCAGCAGCGGCGTCGTAGTGCAGGAGAGCGGGCGACGCGGGTGAACGCGGGAGATGCGGCGCGGCGCCTCGCGCGTGGGGGACAGCAGGAGGGGTGGGGGGGAGAGGGACGCGGAAAGGCAGGGAACACGTAAATGAGCTCCCCCGCAGACAGCGGAGCAGTGCGGCTGGGAGGAAGCGTAGGGAGGCAGGAGGAGGCCGCTGCGTGGAAGGGAATGCAC